AGGTGAAGAATGAACGCTTACTTGAGCACGAAGTAGCCCGTCTTCCATATGGGCCCACTCAGGTAGTCGGCCGTATCAAGGAACATCCGCTGTCCCTCACAGTCGGTCGTCTTTGAGTGCGTGCCTAGAAATGCGTCCAGGTTCTCCCAGTGAATCAGTGCGTAGTGCTTCAGTGCCACTTTGGATGACTAACGGACAGGAAGGAAAAGCATAGCATTATAAAGCAATCTCACCCAACACCAAACTCAGACTGACAAGGCTGGGTAGAATGAAAGTGTCAATGACACTGTAGCTCACCTTGGGTGTGATAGAAGAAGGAGGGGGATATATATAAAGCAAGAGTATATATGGGAGAAGTCCCATTATATAGCATATCTCCCATTATAGGACTCTTGTTAATGATATATGCATAAGTTTTGATGCGAAAATAATGTTTCAGATCTGAGTCTGAAAACTTGACGAGAGATGGTGTACGCCTAAATGAATGGCCATTTTGTGTTTCGAATAATCGCGCAAATAAAGCAACAAGTGCCGCATAGCGACAGCGCTCATCTAACGTCTACTGCCCGGTGACTCTGTGGTGGAGTGGAGGGATTCTAGTAAACCCTGTTAGTCCCAAATGTGTTCACATACACGCCGAAACAGTGGAATGCACAGCGGATGGTATCAGGAACCTTCTCAAAAGAATGTTCGTTGGGATCGTTATGAAAGTTGCCACGAGATGGCGCGTACGTTTAAGTGTCTTTCAGATTAAAGATGGAAGCTCCCATCATTCGTAGTAAGCAACAACTATTTGCAAGGACAGAATAGGTAAGCACTCATCCATTTACCTACGCAAGCCTACAGGCTGCAAATTGCAATAGAGAGCTGCCACCTGCAACCAATTAACGCAGGCAAACAACTGCCCCAACACATGCAGCAGCAGGCAGCAGCCACTGGCAGTGGCCATACGTTACATGTAACATACTGACAGTACAGAATGACATAGAAATTATACGATTAAGGAACATACACCTTCTTTAACCAAATTTAGCTTTTGAAATTTCACGTGTGACATTGTAGCCTCATACATACCAGGCATGTATAGATCTACTAGCAAACCCGGCAGTCAAATTCTTTTCTAACAGACAGTCAACAAATCCAGTTTAACCCTCCTCTTGAGGGTCAAAAGGTTATCCGACACTTACTCTTCGCATGTCAGCACAAGGACATTTCATGGTCCTTTCAATAAAGCCATAAAATGCTAGGTCACCGCTGAAACAAAAAAGTTTTTCATCGCTCCGTCAGACCATGTCCTCAGAAAATCTCTAAAAATCTGCCTGTGCCCACTGACTTTGACTGTGACCTCCAATTTCGGCACAGTGATTGGCTTTTCCTACCATGATGCTATACACCGACTATGCACGAGCCTAGGTCGAGCCGTTTAGATTCTGTGCCGGCAATTCTGATTTCCTCCCTATACCTTAAGTTAAGGAGTGAATGTTCCCCCTCTTTTACACCTCTTGACCTTTGACCTTTGACCCCCAGCTTCGACAGCCCAACTCGTTTTGACGATCCCCCCCAATGTGCCAAATATTGTGACTGTACGATCGAGCGGTTAAAATTTGTGCCCAACTGTTGACGGACGACCGGACGACCGGACGCACGGACGGACGATCATGCGATTCTACAAGCTGCATCTGACTATGTCAGATGAGCTAATAAAATATTCCAGTCAAATTACTGTAACGAAGAATCTAAAACACAATATTACACGTATATAGGTATGATTGTAGAGATGTTGACCAGTATACACGTAATAGGACGTTGTCATCTCTCCCATAGGAGTGACAACTGTTTTGGGGCTAGCCTTACACATTCACATACCAAAATTTAACAAAATCGAATGAATTTAGATGGCCATTTTCATTTTTGCCAAAACGTTGGCGTGGCTCGAAAGTAGGTCGACTGGCGTACTCCAAAATAGGAAGTTCAAATCTCTCCCATAGGAGTAACAACTGTATTCAATTTAAAACATGTGGATCAAACGGTTATTGAGTTATCATTGACCTTAGGCAGACTGAAATGCATAGTGAAATTGCCAAAATCTACCTAATTTGCTAATTAGCTAATTTGCTAATAATAATAATAAAAAATCAAAACCCGTGTGATATGTTTTGTTTTCATTTCTAGAAATGAGCAAAATCTGTTGAACCTAAATTAACTTATGGCCATTTCTATTTTTGCCAAAAAGTGGACGTGGCTCGAAAGTAGGTCGACTGGCGTGCTCCAAAATAGGACGTTCAAACCTCTCCCATAGGAGTAACAACTGCATGCAATTTGAAACATGTGGGTCAAACGGTTCTTGAGTTATCGTTGACCGTAGCCAAATGTTGACGGAAGGACGGACGTACGACACCCCATGGCAATAGCTCATCTTGACGATGTCAAGGCGAGCTAAAAACAAGCAGCTGTTATGGTGCTACATGTATCTTTTCACAAAGCTTCATTATTACAATCATATTCTGCTAGTGCTTTACTACCCATGGTCGATCTACAGAGACATACGTACCCTGCCTTATGTATCATCTATCATTATTACCATTCCTGTAATAATAGCGTTACTAACGATAATATTAGTAATGTCGATTAGAAGAGCACGCGATGATCAACGACTATGACGATTACGATTACTTTAAGCTTGCTCTGACAACCAAAGTTAACAACCGACTACCTCGCAGCCACACTCCTTTGCGACCCACTTGCGCAGCGCCCCCTTCTGGGCGGTAGCGTCGGTGAGCACGTTGGGCAGGTGCTTGACGTGCGGGCTGCGTCGGATCGCGATCTCGAGACTGGAGACGACGGCGCGCGTCAGGTTCTCGTCCGCCGTGCACACACAGAACTGCCGCCGCTCGTTGCGGCAGACGAGCGTCAGCGTCTGGTAGTTCATGCTCAGCTGTGGAAGCGAGACGTGGTTAGCTACGTACGCGATCGCGACAATCGCCAAAATCATCTGCTCGGTGTCGACCGCAGGTCGCACGAAATGCGCAAAATTGCCAGTGCACTTTCCATTGAAACGCAATCTCGTCATTAAATGTTGAATTGAATACGACTGATGTGGAGGATTTAAGGATCTTCAGATCTTAGCTCTCACTTTTAGTTTCAGTTAAACTATACATGCAATATTTATGTTCTATACTAATTTTCTTACTTTCTAAATTAAAAATAGTCAAAGGATAAAACGTAATATGCCACGGAACAATATATATTGTTGGCACGAATCATAACTATAGCGCAACTCAACTGAAAAAATAATGCTCACAGCTAGAGCCATGTTATAATTTAAGCTATCATTATCACTAAGTGCCCTGACACGTACAGATACATAATCTAGCTCTTTGTACTGCATGACTGCGTCTTTGTAGAACTTGCCCGGCTCGCTGGACTGTCTCAGGAAGTACAGACAGCGATTGGTTAGCATCAGGTAGATCACCAGGATCTCTCCCTCAGTGTGGTTGCTGGAGGCACGAAACAGCTGCAACGTGTAATGTCAAATGTGCTCGCTTCAAAATAAACTGCAAACCTACTCACTGCGCTGATGTCTATTAAAGCATTTCCACCAAAACAAACAGTGAAATTAGTACATGCTTAAGATTATATTCTTTAAAAAAAATAACAATGGCAGTAGTGGACGTAAGTAGGCGAATTCCAAAACCAAAGCTACCTCATGCTTATTTGCAATTAAAAACTCACTGTGCAACTATATTTCTGAAACAATTCTAAAGTTTGAAACTGATGTGCAACTCTTGCATAATTAGCCAGTTTAAAAACCAAATTGCTACAAAAACTCAAACTAATTCCATAAATCTATACCGATTGTAAAGCCTACCTCAAATGAATTATACACCCAATTGGTAGTTCTATTTTAAGCCAATTACATATTAAATTCTCTCATCTACCTCAAAGCCAATTGCAAACTCGAGCTACAAGTTAATGTCACACTCCTAACCTTATAAAACTGTTCATTCTCAAACTCAATAATGTCCACCATCAGCGACAGTAGTGTGTTGTTATCCAGCCACAGGTCGCTCTCGTGCAGCGCCCCCACTCGCAGCCGCTTTGCAGAGGGTGCCACCATCGACAGCGAGCGTGGGACCGTAACCGCGCCGTCGTCGGACGACGACGACGACTCTTCATCGTCACTGTCGCAGACCGTATCATCGGCCGACTCTACGTCAGACGTGTCCTCCGCGCACTCCTCGCGATGACCAGGGTCGCATGCCGGCGGCGCCTCTACACCATCGCTATCACAGCTAGCCGGCTCGTCAACGCGGCGGTCGTAGAGCGCCACCTCGTCACTGCTGCCCTCCATTAACATACGCTGCACGTCTGCGTCAGGTCCCGCGAAGCTCGTCAAACTCACAGACATGTCCGCCAGCGCCACCGCCGCCGCCGCCGCCTCTTCCTCCGGCAGCGCCCCCTCCGGAGAGCCGTCCGCCGGCGCCACCTTGCGCTCCTCTTGGCGCGCACACCCGCTGACCGGCGGCGCATCGCATTCACTCGACACATCGTCTGCGACGGTGCTGCCCTCGTGCGGCCGCCTGTGGCAATTCGTCGGCGGCCGCGGAGACGACCTTCGCAAACTCGCGCGACCTCTGCCCGCGTCCGCGCCGCGCATTGTCCGGCCCGAGCGGACGTGCGACATGATGAGCTTTGGGTCGCGGCCGCCAGGTAGCGCCATGAGGTCGGAGAGGCCGCGCGGCACGTCGACGCTCACTGCTAGGTTGCGCGAGAAGTGCTCGACGCCGCCCGAGTGACGCTTGCGCGGCTGCTGCAGCGACGCGCGTGCGCTCATCGTGCAACTCTTCGGCCGCTCACGCCGCGGTGCGCTGGCCCGCCGCGTCACCGATGCCTCCTTCGCGCCGTCTCTTGTCGCAGCCTCACGCGTCGAGGCCGGATTGTCATCGCACGACGCAGGTGCTGGAACATCAGTCTGCTTCGGGTCGCTCGTCTGCTCGCTCGATGGCTCGTGGTTGCCGTGGTCACCGACAGCTGGGTTGTCCTGCAGCGAGATGTGGTCATGTAAGTGCTAGCACTTAGACACATGGGCGGATATTACACTGCGCTTCTAACCAACCAAAAGTTCTTTCGGACAGTCATCGTGAATGATGGTCACATAAAAGGTTAGATAATTGCAAACAATCGGAAAACATCCATTTTATATTGTTGTACGACAACAGAGATTATACCACAACACAGAATATTTTCAGTGACTCGGTGCAAACACTGTACCTGTATAACTTGTATTATATCATTAGCTTGATCAGCATCTGGTATAATGCCTTCTTCTTTTGAATGCAGAGCTCGCTCTGTTACATGCTCCTTTGAATCGGCTAGCTTGACCTTATCATCTGCAATAGACTCTGGTTGGATTACACGATGCAACGATTCGTATCGACTGAACTGCTTTAATGTTTAACTGCTGTTTTTCTCGAACGACATCTTAGCAGCACTGATTCTACACTGCAATATAACCATAAAACATGGTATAGTCTATCAGCTGGGGGAAGTCCTGTGTGCATTTATATGTCCCCGCAGTTTGACGCTTGATTCATGTAGGGGACACCCCTGGAAGTAAAAAAAACTTGGGTAGACATTCTGAATCATGGGAAGGATAGGTGAAATTCAAGATGGCGTTCAAGATGGCCGTCAATTCATGTAATTGACCATAACGCGCCACCTATTTATGATAGGAGGTTGATTTTGGTGTCTATCCCTATATTTTATGGGTCAGGCTATCCATTAAAACTGATACCCGTACCGAAAATGCATTGCATCATTGTTAAATCTAAGATGGCCGCCGAAATGGACACCGTATCATATAAACTGCTATAACTTCTCGCAGACTTATGATAGAAGGGTAATTTTCGTTAAAGCAGGGGCGTGAATTATGTGATGTACTGCCGGCCGTTCATGCGTTGACTGGATGTGACATCACAAGCAAATTTGGCACCAAATTGGCAGCGCTCAAAGCGAACCCAATAGCATGTACACCTCAAGGATTTCGGGAAGAACTCGGACAATTTGTGTCTAGCTGAATCGCAACTATATCTGGTACAGGTCGTGAAACATGGTGACCATATACTATACAAAATATGGATGAATTACGACTAGTCTATACCACCACAGCAAGTCTGTGACCGTTCTGGACTTGCCACCGACTAGCCACGCAGCTACAGGACATATTCTCAGAGCCTTTTACTCCACCTATAGTCAGATGAACTGTTTGAGTGCCCTTACTCTGGAACCTACAGACTTTGGATTCGAATTATCAGATAGCTTGCTTGTTCCAGGAAGGTTCTATCTACCTTTGCCGGACGATGTTGCAGTTGTGTGTTCCTGTGTGAAGTGTTCTACAGCAAGGTGCGTGTGTCAACAAAATGGTGCCAAGTGTTGCGAATTTTGCAAATGCCAGACCGAACAAGTCAATGACTGCAGAAACCCAATTAGTATCCTAAGGACACAGTGATCAGTATTAAAGTTACCTTACCAATAATATCATGTATACTGTAAATGTACTGTATATGTGAAAAGTTGTCAATAAATGACAGTCATATTTGGTGGCCATCTTAGCTTTGATGGTGATGCAGTGCGTTTTTAATCTGGTTATTAGTCTCAGTGGATAACCTGACCCCTAAAATATAGAGATAGACACGAAAATTACCCTTCTATCCTATGTCTGCGAGAAGTTATAGCAGTTTATATGATACGGTGTCCCTTTCGGCGGCCATCTTAGATTTAACAATGATGCAATGCATTTTCGGTACGGGTATCAGTTTTAATGGATAGCCTGACCCATAAAATATAGGGATAGACACCAAAATCAACCTCCTATCATAAATAGGTGGCGAGTTATGGTCAATTACATGAATTGACGGCCATCTTGAACGCCATCTTGAATTTTACCTATCCTTCCCATGATTCAGAATGTCTACCCAAGTTTTTTTTACTCCCAGGGTGTCCCCTACATGAATCAAGCGTCAAACTGCGGGGACATATAAATGCACACAAGACTTCCCTCAGCTGATAGACTAGTAACAATTTTCGTATTACGCCTGCATGAAATAAACCAACATTGCATCAGGAGCGAATAAAAATCCATTTTTATTCTCATTTTAATACCCTCCTGATTACATCTTACTAGGAGTAAATAATAGGCGTTATATTGTTTGAATGCCATGTTATTTATTATTTACCCCTGAATTTATATTACTCGAGAGGCTTACTGTCAGTCCTTACTCTGCAAAAACACTGCAACACTAACACACACGTATACATACAGACGGACATATATACGTTAGCAGGTGGGTGCTATTCTGTTTAAGGTGATGGCTCAAGTAAAGCTCCAAAAAAATAAAAGACGAACCTTGTTTCACTCCATTTGGAGAGTGCCGCGGACTCAACCTGTCCTTGCCGGCTAGACTCGAATGTGTGGAGGAATCTATGAGCGATGCGTAGTCGCTGTCAGGAATCTCAGCCGTGCACACGTCCCTGCCCGAGACCTGTAGCCGACGAAAGCCATGTCAACTCCCACACGCACGCACGCACGCACGCACGCAAACACGCACGCACGCACGCAAACGCGCACGCACGCACGCACGCACGCACGCACGCACGCACGCACGCACGCACACACAGAGACACACACACACAGAGACACACGCACACACATACACAGACACAAACACACACCACGCGATGACAACGACGATCGTGACGACGCCAAGCTCCGTGTATCACTCCCTGATCGCGCGCAGGGGAGATATCTCTATACGCTCACCCGCTATAACTAACCTTCATGACAACGGCCTTGTCGCAGCAAAACGGCCGTGCGTCGCCACTGCGCACAACTACGCGTCTGATCACTCCACTGCCTCCTACTTGTACTGACAACGAATTAGAGCGCGGGAACGGCAAAGCAGCCAGCGACGACGACGACAACGACGACGACGACGACGACGACGCGACCCGAACTGCCGCGCGTCTGCGTGCGCGCGCGAGAGAATTGTGAAATCTTGCTGAATTGAAATAAAGAACTTTCGCTCGGTATTGACCCGCTCGTAGCCTGCGCGCCGCGTCGGTCCCAGCAGCGGCAGCCGCGTGAGTCATGCTCGGCGTCTGCGTCACGGCGACGACGCCTGTATTCACTAACACCAACAGCTGATCGCACGCACACACACGCCCACCTCGCATACACGTATCCTCTCCATACACCTCGGTACGTCGGCCCTAGAGCCTGGCGTATTCACTAACAACAGCTGATCGCACGCACACACGCCCACCTCACTAACATACACGTATCCTCTGCATACACCTCGGTA